CCTAGTTTTTTAACTAGGATGGGGTGAGAGACGGTGTCAAAGGCCTTGCTGAAGTCCAGAAAGACTACATCCACCGCGACACCTGCATCCATGGCCTTTGTGACCTGATCATAGAAGGCAATCAGGTTGGTCTGACATGATCTCCCCTTAATAAAACCATGCTGATTGCCCCTGAGCATCATTTCTGACCACATTGTGGTTGGCACATTGTTCCTTGTGTGCTGTTGGCTAGAGCACCTGCTCTGCCTTCACCAAGTCAAGCTATAGCATCATAGCTCAGCCCCAGCACAGATCTTTGAGAGTTCTTGGCACTTTGGTGAAGTGCCCAATGCTTGGAAGAGGGCCAATGTCATGCCTATCTTCAAAAACTTGTGCTGGGGTGAGGAGGGATGCCCTCTGCATAGATGCCCTAACTCTGTAGGATTCACATCAGGATTTTCTGACTTGTCCCACTCTGGATTTTCACCTCTGAATAGGTATTTCCATAAATGGGGATAGTTTGGCTGTGTGTAAGTTGGAGAAAGGCAAAATTCTCCACAATTCTATTTTTTAAATTATGTTTTTCGTTAATATTGCAATTTTGGTGACATGATGAACAAAGCCTACACAAGAAGAAACCTCCCTATTTTGAGCAGCTCTAACCTAAATATTCAAGGGCTCTGCTTTTGTCAGTAGGAAAATCTAGAGTAACAGCATAAACAGAATTGCAGAGGTGTCTGTGAACTGACCTGCAATGGGTGGACTCAGTAGGTATGGTACTGCATGAAGAAAATACACCACGCCTAGGGCTGATGATAAGGAAGGAGTTCCAACCACATCTGCTGTCACAACAGGAATCAGTGTTACATAGGCTCCATCAAAATACCCAAAGGTAAATGAGAAAGGCACAAGCAGAGGGAAGCTTTGGAGAACAGGTAGGAAGAGACAACAGAGGCCATCCATTCCCACAGCAAAGAGGTAGCAAATATGTCGATACTTCTTCAGACACCTGTGGATTTTAAAACAGGAAGCATAAAGCAATCTTACACACTTTCTCTTTGTTTCCACATATTTCTAGATTGATTACCTTGCTCTTTACAAATAATACAGGATTTTGTTGTCTCATTATAATTTTTTTGTTTTAACCCATCCCCTGCTTCTTCTATACTGCTAAATTTTAATGCCTAGCTTAGCATGCAAAGGTCTCTATCTAGCCACAGAGCAAATAACCTGAACCACATGAGAGCAAACTAACTTCCTGTTCCTTGCTCCTAATTTTGGAGCATGCTGGTAAAAGGAAAGTAGGTTAGTATCTGGCCACATTCAGCTACTTGGTTTCTATACTTTTATCTTTATATGTTGAAGAAAAGGCTCTCAATATCTTGGAAAATAAGACAAAATACCTACTTCTCTCCTCTTTAGTGGTGTAAACCAGGAAAGATTCAATTGAGGTGAAAGTGGGTTAAACAAGAGGGAACAGAAGCCTACAGTTCACAGCAACTCAAATATCATATATATGAAATAAACATGACAATCAAATTGGCTTTTAGACTTAGATTCCCGCACATGTGATCTTCTGCACCAATGTTATAAATGCTGCGTAAGTGTTCAGAATGAGCTAAGATGGCACAGCATGCTAAACACTCAAAAGCCAGGCAGTGCAAACATTTGGGTTTGCATAACCTTAACTCTGTCCTTTTGTGCATATGCAGTAAAGTGCAGGGCCAAATTGTTGGCTCTGTTCCATTGCTTTTGGGATAGTAGTACAGAGGAACCAGGCTATTATCCTCTCATGATTGGACATACAGGGCAATGCTAATTTACATTATATTTATGGCATTGACCATGGAATGTTTTTCCATGGTGAACCCAGTTCTGGACTCATGACCCGACTTCCAGTCTCAGTCCAACCATTATAATTCAATTTCTGTGATACTAACAACACTAGACATATACAGTTGGGATTCTTAGGTTGGTAACTGCTGCCACATGACAACTTTTCATTCAAATTTAAAAATATAATTAAAATCTGAGTTAACCTACAGATGGAATCAATGGTAAGTGATAAGCATTTCTAAAAGATGAATGACAGCAAGCAACAGAAAAGAAATGCAAATTGTTTCCAATATCATCAATATAGAAGTTAATATGCATCACACCATCTGCAAACTGATGTCTGTCATTACCTTCTGTCTGTTAGCCATCCAAAGGTGATATTGCCAATGATGTCAATGACACCAAGTATAGACATAAGGAAAGCAGCCTCCTGATGACTTACACCAACACTCAGAGCATACGGCACTAGGTAGACAAAGAGAGGGCTACAACCATATGCCATAAACAAAACAGACACTGCTAGCACCATGAAGTCTGGCATCAGCAAAAAGTTGTACTCCTGCCATGAGCAATGACATAGACATTCATGGGACCATTCTTTCATTAAAGGTGAACACATGGATATCTGCTTTAAGTCTTGCTTCTGTGCTTTGGAGACATATTCCTGTTTATGCAATTCAGAAGGGTTTTCATGGTCCTCCTTAAGAGTAATAGGCCGCATTAAAGCACCACAGACACAGAGGTTTAAAACAAAACCTCCCAGGATTAGTAATGCTCCACGCCAGGAAAACTGTTCAATTAAGAGCTGGACCACAGGAGCCAGAATGAAGGTACCGATGCCACTCCCTGACATGGCTATCCCATAAGCCAGTGCTTTCCTTTTGTTGAAATATTTGCCCACCATTGCTATGGCTGGAGAATAACAGAGTGCAAATCCAAGCCCTAGAAAAGAAGCAGATTGCATATTATTTAATACTGAAAATATGTAATAGAATACATTACAGTTAACCAAATAACCTACTTTCATCAGCTCTAATGAATGGGAGGGCCCCTGCTTACCACAATTTTACAGGTCAGGAATAAGTGAAAGTGGTAACACCCCCTAGAAGGACACCAGATTAAGCAAATGCAGTTGAACCTCAATGATATGTTTCATGCAGAGGCCTGGTGAGGATTGGTGAGCTTTTTGTTTTAGTAAGTGCTCAGGCTATAAAAAGAACATCAGCAATTATATGTGGTCTAGCTTTTTATCAAGGCAAGAAAGTTAAAAAATGAAGACATGGCACCCCCCTAAACCTCTAGGGACCATGGCATCATGCACACTGTTCTGAAAGCCATTGCTCATTGTGGTCTGGTCAATTACAAACGCAAATATCTATTTCCTGGGCAGATCTGTTTAATTGCAGACCTCTAAAGAAAAATTTAGGGAGGTTCCCTGTCTTGTGAATTGTATGACATGCCACTTTCTTTAACCAAGCAAACAAAGTATATTTTTCAACTGGTTGGAGTATTAAATCCCCTTAAGAAGCCCTCAATCCTATTATTTTGATTTAGATTATGATTGTGATGATTTTCAAAATCACGTCAATAAATGTTTTCTTTAAAAAAAAGAGAAAAAAAAAGGAAAAGAAAAACGAAACAAACAGCATCTCTTGGAGAAAAAATTGATTATAGAATTTCAAGGAGAGATAACAATCAGATGAAAGTTTGCATTAGTACAGTGTTTCAGCACAGATTTCTGAATCGAAATGTATTCCAGCCCGGGATTTTAGAACAAATTTCATCTTCAGATAAAAATAGTCCTCATTCCCAATGGGTGTGTCTACTCATGTGCATTACTGTGCAGTAACCAAAATTACTGTGCAGTATGAGCATGTGCCTACATATGGCAACTTATGCCGACTTGAGCATAAAGTTGATACTTGCATCATGCTGGTATCAAATTTATACCTGATTAGTTACTGCGCAGTAATGCACATGTAGACAATTTGCTGCACAGTAACACTGTGTATGGACTGATCTGGGATTAATTTTAGTCCCAAATCAGTTCACACACAGTGTTAATGCACGTGTAGATGCCAGCCTATTCCCACTTACTGCAGAGTAAATTTAAATTGGCATAAATCCACATGCTATGCATTAAACCTACTAGGTGGAATGGATTACACTAACACAAGAAGGCAAATTCTCTGTTACCTCACTCAGATATAACAGAGAGGTAGTATAACTAGGATGTGGACAGCAGTCTTGAGCTAGGACCATACAAGGAGCCACACCTGAGTGGGAGACTTGAACTAAATTTTATCTTATTTTACTGATCATATCTTTGTCAATTAAGCCAAATCCAAGTAATGGATGGGAATTTAATCCTGTTCAGTGTACTGACTTTGTTTTAGAACACTAAAAATCCCTAAGAGTAAAACAATGTAACATTAATATAATATAATAAAATTATCCAGGTCACAGAGAACTCAAAATTAAAGGTCTGTGAAATGTGTTCATGGTCAACCAAGGAAAAGGATATACACTGCATTTGATCCCTTTAGAAGTGCAAACATTTTATGAATCTGAAAAGACCTTCATTTATATATTACTAAATAATGAATGGAGAAATGAAGAAAATTAGTCCACTATTATCAGGCATCTGTCTTTTGGCTCTCCACTAGTGGATTATATATGTTCTCCTTTCTGGGTATATTCATTATGAGAAAAGGCTGAAAGAAAGAGGGTTATTTAATCTGGAGAAGAGAAGATAAAAGGGGAATTGGATAAAGTCTTCAAATTCCTGAAAGACAATCATAGAAAGGATAGAGATGATTATTCCCTGTGGCCACATGGTACAGGACTAAGAGCAATGGGCTCAAGCTGAAGCAAAGGAACTTTATGTTAGATATTAGGGCTGTGCAAAGCTTTGGTTGCTGATTCGATTTGGCCACAGGGTACAGGACTAAAAGCAATGGACTGAAGCTGAAGCAAAGGAAATTGATGTTGGATATTAGGGCTGTGCAAAGCTTTAGTTGCTAATTCAGCAGCCGAATCTCTGAATCCAAATTGAATCAGGAGACCCATTAATCTCTCCAAATTTAATCAGAAGCCTCCAAAATGATTTGGAGGGATTCAACAATTCAGGCATAGACAAAGCCTTATATGTACATACCTCAAGGTACCAGGAGCGGCTCGTAAATGCTGAGATGGTGGGGCAGATGGAGCATCCCACGGGAGCATGGGGGGGCCCACCCAAGTGCTTGGCAGTGGACCAGAAGTACCTCCCCTCCCTTCCAGCTTGGCGACTGGTGCCTCCTGGGACTGGGGGGCACCTGAGGTCCCCCCGTGGCTGATCACTAAGCCTAGAGGGTGCGGGGGGGGGGCGGTCTCCTGCACACTCAGCAGTGAACCTGGAAGTGAACTGGAAGTACTTCTGGTCTACTTCCAGGTCCACCGCTGAGCACGTGGGCTTCCCCCCTCCCCAGCACCCCCATGCTCCTGTGGGATGCTCTATCTGCCCCACTATCTCAGCATTCATGAACCACACCTTGTACCTCGAGGTATTTAGAAAAAACATATAAAGCTGTCTATGGCTGAATCACTGATTCTCTGAATCAGAATCCAGTCTTCAGATTCAGCTGAATTGAATCTGAACAGTGATCTGAATCAGCAAATCAAATCACTGTCCCCAAATTGGACCAAATCCAAATGCGAATCGAATATTGCCTACTTTGCACACCCCTATTGGATATTAGGAAGAAATTTCTGACCATAAGGGTGGTCAAATATTGGAACAGGCTACAAAGAGAAGTTGTGGACACTCAATCTCTTGACATTTTCAAGAAATGGTTAGAGAGATATCTGGCTGGGACGGTTTAGTCAGGGATGATCCTGCCTTGAACAGGGGGTGAGACTACATGATCTCATGAGATCCCTTCTGGCTCTACTTTCCTATGATCCTATGATCACTTTGGTAAGTCTCACAACTTCTACTGGCTCTGAGTTTGGATATATGCTACTATTGGTCTTGACTCCCCTCTGGGTTACACATTTGCTTGCTGTGTCAGCATAAGCAACCATTTACTGTGGGTTCATATCTTCATTACTACCTGCAGACTAAATTCACTACTTGAGGCATGGACTATCCGCAACTTAATTCAGAATGCTTTATTGCTTCTCTTCCTCAGTATTTATAATAGTTCTCAAAGCAGTTCTCAAGAAGCTTCAATGGCATTTGGATGGTATGTGATATAGAGCTTTGGGTAACAAGGGACATTATTTGTTATGAACACATTTGGCAAAGATTAACACTGTAATGCAGGAGCAACACATATGCAAGGATTTTTTTTCTTAGCAAATAAGTTGTTGGCAGCATATGAAGTATAGTAATTCTACTAACATGTAACTAAACAGCAGGAGACCAAGAACAAGTCTTATATCACCATGGCTACCATGTCAATTTTAATGAGTCAAGAATCTCAGTATAACCAATGACACCTTTAATTTTCTTTTGGATACAAGCAACTGTGGAAAACAGGAAAGACCAAGGATAGTTTCAATGCAATGACTAAACACAAAGGGACGAGGTATTATGGCAAAGCAATCAACAGAGATTTTTTTGCTTTTAAGCCGAATGTAGGACAGGGAAAAAAATAAGATGTGCTATGATGAGCAATACAGCGATTATTTCACACATCTGAAAGGCTTCTCTGGCCTTTTATTTTATTTTTAATTATTTGATTTAAATAAAGGAAATCTATGTAAGGCCTTAGATGGGTTGGTAAGATATTAATATTAGAGAGAAAAACTAGCAGCCTGCCATCTAGAAAAAACTCCTTTCCGCCTTCTCAGAAGTTTACTCTCTGCCCTCTTCAAGCTGATGTTACGTTGCTCTGTGCCTGCAAGATCACCAGAGTAGAACTATTTCAGGCAAGCTTGGGAAGCAGATTCCAGAACCCTGGAGCCCTCACAGGGAATGCTCAGGCAGCGATCCCCTCTCCTTTATAATGAGGAAGAACCACCTTGAACATCTCTGCTGACTACATCTGTGGCAATATGAAGATATCTCTTTGAAAGTTTTAATTGCTCTGACAATTCTGGGTTGCTTTGTTGGTTGGAACATACCACATCAGTCCCTCCTCCTACCTGTAAGAACTCCTAGTGACAGGTAGAGGTGCTCCAGGCTTGTGGCAAATGAACTCAGGATTAGTCCTGTAGATGCAAGCATTCCTCCCAGCATGATGCCCACTTGACAGGACACACGATTACTGATAAAACTTCCAAGTGGGGCTTTAAGAAATGATGAATGAAGTTAGTTGATAGCACCTCATCACATGCACCACACTACCATGAAAATGAAAGTTTAGGAAAAGAAACAACCACCAAAACCAAAGAGAAGAAAATACTGACCTGCTTCCACAGCTAATTAGAGTAACATTTCACTATCACATACATCACTACAGTACTTGTGAGCAACCTAAAAACCCTTGCAAAAATTATTATATTCTGTTTTCTATAGAACCAGGTAGAGATGAAGATTAGTATAGCTTTTTAATGGCCATTTTTATAGTCCAATGGCATCTCTCAATTAATGAGGACAGGAGGAGACAATGGTGATATCTAGATAAGGAGCATCGTTACTACTGCAATAAATCTGCTGCTCTTGGAATTTACATTGAAGCTCTGTTTGGATAGGTCCCTTTCACCTTCTCACTGAGGGTCTCAGATCTTATATGATGTGGTAAAGCTCTCTCTGTCTCCCTCTGGAGATTAGATAGAGGCTCATCTCACTTCTATGAAGAAATCATTTCTCATCCTACCTACTTTCACAGAATTCTGAATGATAAACTTATAATCAAATCACATGTACTCTGGTTGATACAGAATGGTTGCCGCCACTTACTTCTAAGATGTCTGGCTATTTTTTAGGCCCCGCTCCTGAAAAGTTGGTAAACTTTTCCGCCCATGTACCTCATGCCATAGGATTGGGGCCTAAATTTGCAGTCCTATGAAATATATTCTTGAGAAATTCTTGAAAACAAAATGTGTGTTCAAAGAGTAAGCCAGGAAATATTTTTAAAAGAATGAAAAAGGACATTTACCCAAATAAGTGTTATGGATGTGACTTGAACTAAAAGAACAAAGAAACAGCCCAACTCTAAAATGTAACTCAAGCAAAACAAGTGTAATGTAACATCAGGCAAAACAAGTGGTAGTTTACTTGCTCTCAAACCAAGATTTATCCCTGAGTCTTTATCACACATTTCTTAAAGAAACATCACTTGACAACAAAATGGTTTGCTTCTTTTCACTATCACACAAAGTTATTTAAAGAGATTCCCTTCTTGCCAAACCACACTGTGGGAATCAGCTATACCATTTGTTTCAAAAGGCCAGGCTAGCTTGGACAAAAGCCATTGACATGATTAGAAGCCCCAAATCAGAATATTTCCCAACTAGCTCCAGTGACTTATGAATATGCTGTCAGGTGTCCCACTCAAGAACACACCAATCTATTATTCTTAGAGGGCAATACACACCGCAGAGCATTGTAGCACAGTCTGCGATGGAATGGATCCATGCTGTTCGGGCATAATCCTGAGCAAAGTAGGTTTGGAATTCCACAAAAAATATTGAGATGCATCTAGGAAAAAAAACATGAATATTGATGTGTTAAGAACACAATTAATCCATTACAGAAAACATAAGTTGTTGCTATTCAAGGATCACAGAAACCTGGTTTTGGCTCCTTTCCAATTCTCCTGGAAGTGAATGGAAAGATAACCACTGGCTTCCAAAGGAGTTGGGTCAGGTCTTTAAACACCTGCAAAGAGGAGTTTGAAAAAAGAATCTGTGTGGATACGCTGAAAACCTGGAAAATGAAAATGTGCAAAACTTGGATAATTAGTACAGCAGTTCATACAGTGAGTTTACCTCTGTCTGACTGAACCAGAGAAGAACCCTGTTTTTTGTACCAATGACTGAGTCAGAGGATGGTCTTCAAATCTGATCCTAATAGTGGGATTACACAGAATTAAATTAATTTAGATCACATTAATCTAATGCAGATAGATTAGTTTAATCTAAAGAAATATGATGGAAACATTAATAGCATTTTTCTTACTTTATCTGATATTTGTATTATACAGAGCTGAATAATCACAGAAGATGCAAAGGTAGTGGAAACCAAGAAAAAATATTCAATAAAAGAGAAATCTAAATATCATAAGGGCCAATAGGTCTGTGCCAACTTTTTAAAACTGTTTATTAAAATGCCCGTGAAGGAAATTATCTTGCTTTGTTCAACAAGTATCATTACTATGCCTGCATACATATAGGAAGAAACTAGAGATTGTTTTGTTCCATTCTAGTTTCAGGCTAATAACAGGATACAACTTTGGTAAATTCTCTACAGTAATCTTTAAAGTTCTAATAAATATTTCTTTTTACAGTCATGACCAATCCTTAAAAGGGATGAACAATCTTTTCTTCTCAATTTTAATCTACCATATACTATTATCCTATCTTTCTGCCCTTGTTTCTTCCTCCTTTATATATAGGTTCAAAACCAAAGGCCAGCTGTTTAAAATCTGGTCAGTAAAACAGAAAGCAGTTTTCTCCCTCCAGTCTTGTCTATGTTAATGATAGAAACATTTTCTAGGTATAACTAGACTCTTATCAGTATTATTTATTTTGCAGTACCTGAGAATGGTAGTGGTAGGTGCTGCAAACAGACAAATGACAATCCCTACATCAAGATTCTTATCAAATACAATTTCTATGATATTTACTCATGAATAAAGTTAAGTGTGCACTTCAGCTCCTAAGGACCTGATCTTTCAATGAGTTTTTTTGTGAACAGGCCTTGCATCCCACTGAAATCATCAGGCAAAACTGAAATAAAACATATAAACATACTTCTTCCATGAATCTATAACATATAAATGCTGTGTGTATGTTCCATATTTCTGTGTCATGAGTAAACAAAGTTGGCTTTTAGTTAGCTTTTCAGTAGGGTGACTATAATAATTTTAGGAAAATCCAGGACAGACGAAGGAAATCCAGGACAGCAGGGGGGTGGGCGAGGGCATGCACACACATGCAAATGCGCACACACCATGCATCTGTACCCACCTCCTCGTGGGGACGTATACACTAGGGCTGTGCGAGGCTTCGGATTGCGCTTCGGATCCGGGGCCGCTTTGGACGCTTTTGTGTCCGAAGCAGCATGCCCAGAGCGAAGTGCGGGCTCAGTTAAGATGTCCGAAGTGGTTCAGAGCTTCTGAAGCGCTTCGGAAATGCTTTGGATGCTTTGGACACTGAAAGAGAAAGTTAGAAGAGGGAGGGGGAGCTGGGGAGGGAGAGAGAGTGGGAGGCAGGGGGAGGGGGAGCAGGGGTGAAGACTGACACATGTAGGTGGCCAGTGAGAAGGATTTCTCTCTGGTTGCCTTTCCAATGACAGCATCTGAGGGGAGAGACCGAGAAACAGCATAAAAGCCTCTGTTTGGAG